GGGGAGGAGGATAGGTTAGGAGGCAATCAAGGGGGTCTGATAGTCAGCCAAAGTTCTAGAAAGACCCCAAAAGTTGGGCTAAAGACTAGAAAATTCGCAGAACACTATCCCCCTAGCCCTGGTGGACCAGGAACGGGGCTGATCACTGACCTTTCTGGCTGAGGCACGCTGCAGTGGCCGGGGCAGTGGTCACAGGAGGCACTGGGGGCTTCTTGGACGCCTTCTTCTCTTTCATCCAGGGGTACTCCGGAGGCAGGGAGCCCGCTGGCACGGGGCTACCGTGGTTACCATTTGGGCTCTGTTTGGGTCGGCTGTGGCGAGGGTGGCTGCTTGGATTCAAGCTGGGGATGGTCTGTTCGAAAGGAGGAGGAATAAGTGTCGAGTGTGAAAGCGCAGAGCTCTTGATTGATGAACTTTGAAATGTATCACCGACAGGGGGAAAGGATGTCAGGCACTCAGCAAGCGACGGCTGACTATTGATAAAACCAATCTCTCGCTCAAATTCGTAATTCATGGCCCTCTCCTCCAAGCCTCTTAAAAAAGTTCGCCCCTACCTTTACGTTTAAAGGCCCTGTAACGACGACGAAAAAAAAAAAATCATAAAAATCCTTGCTGGTGTTTTTTTTTTCTAATTCACTGATTACAGCCGTATGGGGACTGTGCTACTATTAAACTATTGAATTCATGGAGACAAGGTTGAAATTGGACCGAATTGGCTGTCACATGATTGCTCCTGCCCAATGACAATTTGGGGTTTAATCAAAAGAAGCCACTGTCTGTGTGATTGATCCAAAAAAAGTCAAGAAGGAACGCCTCATTGTGAGCCAGCAAGGTTTTTATTTACACATTTTTATCTATAAGGATAGAGCCCTTGCAGGAAATAGATTTTGATTTTTTTTTTATCTCCTTCTGCCTTGCTGCCTGCTGCTGTGGCTGCTCCCCTCTCCTCTGCACTCTCACTGCATTGTTTCAGCCTGTCAGGGAGGCGTTTTACACACAAATCATAAAGAACCAAAATCTAACGCCTTAAGTCATTAACAAAGTAATCCATTAATCTTCAAAGTTTTGACACCAAAGACCCCACCGTTCCAGATACATAGGAACTTACAGCCAGCCACAATCTACCTGCATTTGCTCTACTACACCTAAATGTTGTCTTTCTACTGTGTGAAGCACGCTGATCCCACTATTTCTTTTATTTTTATTTATTTATTTATTTCTCCTCTACTGTACAGAGAACAATAGGTTAGGCAGAACTCATTGTTACTAGAGCTGACACATATGGGAAGCGTGAGGATATTATTTCTCTAGGAGAAATGTTTCACTGCTTGGCAAAATGGCTGAACATGACAGCAGACCTACCTTTTTATATAGGAGTAAGGACAAGGTAGAAGCTGGTCTGTGAATAGTCAGGACAAGGTGAGTGCTTTATGATATTGCAGCAATGTTTTTGGTGGTCATCGTGCTCTATTTTTTTTCTTTGTAGCTTATCATTTAATATACTTTAATTTAATGTGATTTTTTCCATTTTTTTACTACTACACCTTTTTCCTCTTTTTAATTAACCATACTGTGACAGACACACACAGACACACGTACACAGACAAACACACACAAACACACTCACACTTGCACTAAGATGAAAAAATAGACATTTCTGTTAATGGATATATATATATAAATAAATAAAGGAATGAACAAAATAACAAAAAAAAAACCTTTTCTTTTGTTCATCGTGTAGACAAATTCTTTCCCACCTAAGTTACACATAACAAGATCCTTCAGTAAAACTATGACCACCTTCTGCTGTTTGCTGCTGTGCATTTAGGTATAACTATTGGCTGTGAACAAAGAGTAAATAATATTAAAACCGAACGTTCCTAAAATGCTATTTTAAGCTGGCTTTTCAGACTAGAGACACACACACGCAGTAGTTAGATGGAAGGTTTTTAATTTTCTTGCCTCTATTCCAAACAAAGCTGGAAGGAAGTCTGTGTGTGATCAATCTTTCTTGCCAAATGGTTTGACAGCTTCTGGCCTTAAAGATCACATTTAAAGCTTCTTGTTTCTTCCAAGATCAAATGTTACTGGGAAAGAGGTTTGAGTGAGAAATGCAAGTAAAGAAGGGAATGTAGTCTCTCCTTCCTTCACTTATTTGAGATTGGATATATTTTCATATCTCAGGTATGTCACCTTTCCTTTGTGTTGTGTCTTTTCTGTGTCTGTAGATGAAGAAGTGAATTAAAAATAGACGGAGAAGGAAAGAACTGGAAAATAGAAGGGATATGTGCAGATGTAATGAATCTTTGTTGGCTGGATGTGTGTGGGTGTGAGTATTCTTAAAATCCCTGCTCCCTTCCCCTATTGCTTCATAGATCAGGGAACAAAGAATTTTACTGTGTCCACACCAAATCCATTAATCTGGGCACACAGTAAAGCAAAATATCAGCGCAAACTCCTTCAAACAGATTATACATAGAGACTTGTCTTATGTTAGAGGTAGGGAAGTATGTAGAATGTAATCATACAGCACTGGAGAAGATGCCTGCGACATATGGCAACCAGGAGCAGCATTAAAATAATACATCATGCCCTTCAGTCCAAAAACTCATGCCCTTGAGGATCATCTGTTAGTGTAGGAAGGAGAAATGTTCAATGATACATTGTAACTGATCATATACGTAGCCAATAATTCTGGTCTGGGAGGGTAACTATGAGCACAAAATGTGTCTTTCCTCGCATTTTGTCTACGGTTCTATAATAATATGGAGAATAACAAATGTCTGTATTATGGTAAACTGATTTTGAAGCTCTCAAATTATTATTATTTTGTATAGGTCTTTATAGCCTAAAATTAAACTGGGAAAAATATTGACTGTAATTTGCCTTGAATTATTTATGAGAGTTATTAAAAACAATACTATCAGCCCTGTCTCTTTATTTGGTTAACTGCATGCAAGCAACACAATCTATTTTTAGCAATTGTAGTTGATGATATATAGCTTTAAAATTTTTGAAACAACATCGATTAATTGATTAATTTCAAATTTTTATTTTTATTAGTAATAAAAATAATAATTTATCTCTCTCTCTCTCTCTCTCTCTCTCTTTATATATATATACATATGCACATATACACACACATTTTTTTTTCACATAGGTCCGTTCTTACATTCCCTGGTCATCTCTTTTATGTTTTGTGTTTGTGTGCACATGTGTGTGTGTGTTTTCTCCTTCATTTTTATCTCACAACAAAGCCACCCACATAAACGTCCATTTCCCATTGCTAGGGAAAAGTGTAGGAGTAAATTGTGCATTGGTTCCTGACAAAGAGCTCGCCCAGAAGAAGCCATTCCCTGTGAACAGATGCCTTGGAGCTGATGGTGCAGTTTGGAGCACAAGAAACCCATCAGCACTCAGCTATTACCTACCGGACCTCCATTATCGGCCATCTTATCAATCACTAACAAATGCATTCAAAGAGATCTTGTCCAGCACACAGGCTATCCCAGCTTCTCTCTCTGTTACAGAACAGGCTCTATTTTCTTTTCCTATCAGTAAATTCTGCTACAGCTAGCAATTTAGAGTCACAGAAAATATGTGCAGTTCTTAGTCTTATCCTTAATTTGGTAATGATCATTGGAAATTAGACATTTTCAATTAACTGTATGAATCGTAATATAATAAAATATGAATTATATCCTTATTCCTTTCATGTCTTTGTCTTGCTGTACCAATTGAGTTAATTATGTTCAAATATACAAATTCTCACTGTATATTTTTCTCTAAGATTTTATTGCATCTTTAAAGAAATGTTATCTGATTTAAACATAGCTCCCTGTGCCACTATCCCATTCAACAAAAAGGTCCATAGGGCGACCTAAATGTGAATGGTAGATATTGTTTATAAATATGAAAGATGGATAAATAATATGTAAACAGTTTGAATATTTTTGCTTGCATAACAAAAATAATAAATTAACCGGCATATATGCACCAGCATACAAACAATTGAATGAATAACAAGTATTATGATCCAGGCAGACCCTGTTCAAGAGCTTTTTTTATATTTGCCTAGCAATTTAATAGAAGTGCAATAATAATTTAATCTCATTCCCTGCGGGATAAGAAATGTAGGAACAAATTCACATTTAAGAAGTTTTTTTTTTCATTAAAAAAAATTTGTTCTTATACCCTGTTTGATAAAAGTGTAGAATAAAATACAAATAAATCTGCAGATAAAGGTCACGAAGAGCATATGTACTATGCAAACAAAACAAAAAAATGCAATTAATATTGCTGACCAAGAATATATATATAAGACAAGGGAGTTACTGTCATTAAAGGTTAAAAAAAAAAAAAAATGAAAAGAAAAAATGGAGTTGATTC